CCTGCAGAGAGCAGAGACACACCCACCAAAACACACAGACAGACAAAATCCCGACAGTGACCACAGTCTAGGACCCTCACACTTGGACTGGAGTTAAAAAACAGAGCTGTAGTCCAGACATTAGTCCTGCATCACTGACTGAAGGATTTTTAGAAGAGAGTTGGATTTCTGAAACTGTTCTGATGAGGAACAGTTAAAGACATGTCACCGGACCTGTTCAGTCAGTTTTATTGTTATTGTAATCTGATTACTGGGTATTTTATGGGAAGAACAAAAGGCCTGACTTTCCTTCAGCTCCCTGTGAAGGGCTGAATCATCTAGTATTAGGAAGAAATCAGAATCAGCTTTACTAGCAGTATGTAAACACCTACAAAGAATTGAACTGTGGTTCTTCCTTACCTTTACCTGAGGTACCCAAACAAGGACATCAGGAAGAAATCAGTATCTAACAATACTCTGTGGTGGCACGACGCACAACCGGCTATATCAGTTGACCAGAGCAGTGCAGAGATGTGTTCAGTAAATATGATTTAAACATTTGTCTTTATTCTACATTTTGTAGGGGGGGGCAGACTTATCTCCACAATAAAGAAAACTATTGCATCAATGAAATTATCAAAACCAACCTTTAAATTATTCATCCAGCAATATAATCTCAGAGTCAGCTCAATAGTTCTAATAAACTCTTTACTCCTTGTGATCAGTCAAGAGTGTTATAATATTAGGGAATTAAATTTGAGCTTAGGTAACTACAAAGATCGCATATGTAAAGGGACTGAAAGTAAGCTATAGAAAACACACGAAACAACTGTATACGCACATAACATTTGTTGCTAACTACAACAAACAAATAATAACAACAACAAAAATTAAACATAAAATACAAGGGTCGGTGCTTTAGCTCACCTGGTTGAGCTGGCGACCCATGTACAGGGGCTTTAGTCTCTGATGCAGCGGCCATGGGTTCGAATCCTGCTCATGGCCCTTTGCTGCAACCCATTGCTCCATTCTCCTCCCCCACTTTCCTATCTCTCCTTCAACTGTCCTATCTAATAAAGGCAAAAAGGCCCAAAAAAACCCCAACATAAAATATAAACATTGATGAGAATGCTGAGTGAGAATCTGATCAGGCTCTTTGAGGGTGAATGTTTTCTTTTTCCTCTCCATGAGCGTCTCTTATCTGTTAGCTACCCTTTGAAGCTCCCGACGGTGTGATCAGTTGATTTACACCTTCCTGTGACCTGGCTCAAAGTTGTCAGGCGAGGCTCTGGACAGTCTGATCAGTCGATTTACCACTTCTTGTGACCCCTGAGTTGGAAAGTTTTGTGTCCCTTTGGCATCTGTGTCTGTTCATATCCTACAATTGACCTTATGAAAACCTACCTCTTTTGTCCTAAACTGATGGTGCTCAACTCCAATTAAACAGAAATGCAACAAATCCTTTAATTTGCAAGCTGAATGAGTTTTTTCAATTTTTGCCCCTTGGGGATAAATAAGGTATTTGAACTGAATTGAAAGCACATAATGGTGAGAATGTGTACTTTAAAATATGCAGGAATTAAGATGTGAGGTGAGCTACTGAGACAGTTTGTATGAGTTGGTATGGATGTTACACATTGTTTGATTTTTGTTATTCTCATTGTCATGAAGCCGACAGACTCATTCCATGGAGTTCAACCATTCATTACACTTCATGACAACAGATCATGGAGTGAACAGATAGCCGAGTACCGTTTAGCTGTTGCTGCTTCCCCAGCCTAATAAGGATGCTCTAACTTTACTCATAACCCTCTGCTTTTGGTATATCTCAGTCAACTTGTGGACTGCAGCGACCTCTAGTGGCCAATGTTGATAGAACCTTATTCTACAAATCACATTTCACTCATGTTGGGTGAGACAAGAAATGGCATCAAAGTTTAACATCTTTCACAGAGACTGAAAGTAACAATAAATAACATGGGAATGTCAAACCAGAGGGCTGTGCTATGAAGCAAGTCAGGCTTTCTTTGTGTTAGTCTACTCGACAGAAACTAAAGCCCCAGTCAGAAATCGCGGGTATCACGGAGGTGGTTATCAACTTTCTTTGTCAACACGGATTTTCTGCTTCAGATTCTGTTCACATAAAAGGAGGCGTTTAATGTGACTGTTCTTCTGCACAAAATAAAAAACAATGTTTTCTGTCGTGCTTTCTGACAAAACCACACCGCAACAGGGTGTGGATTAACTCACTAGAATTTGTCACCAGTTGAACAGCTCAATTTTGTATGTGTGTGTGTGTGTGTGTGTGTATGATTGTCTAAATGAAACCCTTTCTTTAATCAGAACAGTAACAACAGTTTTATTTTTTTTTTCTGACAGTTTGTACAAAGGAGTTAACATGTTCAATGCCACTAATCCATTTCAGTCTTATTGCTGGCCTAGTAACAGACCAGAATTTTAAAATGTGAATGTCAGAACTTCTCATGTTTTAAAATGTTTCTAAATCGTCAAACTTTCTGATTATTTCCAGGTTTATGTGGAAAATATGATTTTCTATGTGCTCTCAGACTTTTGGACCCCACTGTCCTTTCATATCATGAACAGCAAACTTTTTTCAATTATTTTCAAACTAACTTACAGCTTCACTTCTACTCAGAGGTGAGTTTTCAGTTGGATACTGGACAGTGATATTTGTTTTTATAATCTTACAGGGGGAAATAAGGTGCAAACAAAAATGTAATGAATTTAGAGTTATCCACCTTACGTACACACATCCATGAGAGCGTGGCGGTAGCTCAGCTGGGCCTTAACCCCGCCTGCTCCAGGGCACCATAACGGGGCTGACCCTGACCCCAGCCTCTAACATGCTAAGATATGCGAAGACCGCTTCTTGTGGTAGTCTGTGCAATAACAAAGTTGAATCTTCTTCTTTTATTCAGTCATTAATAGTACATATGACATAAAACCACAAACCATCAGGTCAATATGATGTATTATTACATCCAAGAATCTTCTCAGCTGTAAGCTTGACATGAATGTTTTCAGACAGACAAGATTAAGAACAGCTACTTAAAAACATGTAAGAAAAAAAAAAATCAAACACAGGAGTCAGAAATACTGTCAGTTTTTGGTCCAGTAAATCAAGCATAATGTGCTACATCAGTGGTCCCTTACCTCAGCAGATCAACCCCTAGTGAGGCCACCCAGGTGCACCTTGCAAACTGATATCTGTGGATCCTCTGTCATCTTAATATCCCTAAAACCTTCAGAAAATGTCAGAGCTTCAAAACTCATCCCATGTGAAGTTTTTACTCGAGCACCTCAGAATTACAGCTCAAGGATGCTGGCCGGACATAGTCAGTTAGAAGACTTTAATTAGTCACGCTGCCAGCAATGAAAAGTCTTTGAAGGCTGACCGGCAAGTTTTAGACTGACGGTATATAACTAATAATGTCAGAGTGAATCCAATCCAACTGCAAAGCCTGAGTTAGTGAGACTTTCTGCATCAGTTCCATGAGTGTAATCAAACATATAAAAACACATAATACTGATGATGCAAAGAGAACATACTGATGAAACATGGTGGATGAGAACTAATGTTTGACAAAACATATTAATACAGAGATTGAAAAGGTAACAGACTGTCCTAATGGTGAGGAGAAAAAGGGGAGAAACGCTTCTCTTTCTGGAACAGACAATGTGGAAGCAAAGAAAGGCTGTCAGGATTTGAAATTTCAGTTACACCTAAAGCTCTATGAAATATAATCACTACTGGATTGTGACTGTTGAAATTTAAACACCAATAAATATATTAAATCTGTTACAACCATCCGTATTCATGTGGTTTGATTTGAGTTTTTGGTAAAAGCCTTCCCTAAATGGGTTCGCAGCCTGTGTGCCGGTCTGGCAGACTTGTCAAGCTTTGGATTTCTCCACATTTTGAAGCACTGTGTTCTCAGGATGGTTTCTTTTGCCTGCCATTTCAACATTGCTAAAACCACACAAGCCTGAGAGGAAGCAATCGAATAAACTGTGTTTATCTGCTCTAACGTAGGCATGTTGTTCAACATCGCAGGCTTAGCATAGCAATTCAGGAGTTAAGGGGATGGAATATTTTTTAGGTTATTTGACATGGTCTATTTTTTTGTGTGTCTTTTTTGTAGAGTATAGTGGAGAGAGACAGGACATGTGGGGAGAAGAGAGGGGAAGGACCTGCAGCAAACAGCCGTGGGGTGGACTCCAGGCCATGCGTTGGGGCCTAGCGCCTGTTTGTGGGTCAACTGCTCAACCAGTTGAGCTACCGGGGTGCCCACGTGGTCCATTTTGTTTAAAAACCTTTATTTCTTTTTTTTAACTTAATCAGATGACTTGACATTTCAGACATTTCAACTTTTTACCTGAATTTGTGTAGCAGTTTTGAAACTGCAACATCTTTAAATAGACTTTAAACTACTTTCAGAGAGATGATTTTGAAGTATTAGACAGTATTTCTTACATATGAATTCATTAACAGTACATATTATGTAGTGATTAAATCTCACAATTCAAATCTCTACAGCTTTTCTTTGCCTCCTCAAAAGATTTCATGAGTAATTTTGTACCGAGAGCTTAAGTCCCCCAATGACACAAAGCCTTACTACAGTTAGTGCAATATGAATGATAAATACTGACATTAAAAGCAAAACAAGATTAACTCATGCGTATGTGTACACACGCAAATTGATTCAATGCTGAAATGACGTCTATTCTTTAATTCATTTTGAATCACATGACTTTTCAGCTGGTGACATGGCTAGTGATGAACTGGCTAGGAGGACATGTTTAAGGCACACAACTTGCTGCATTGCATTAGTCTGTGGCATTATTATCAGACCTCCATGTGAATGTGAATGACGTGGCCTGAACACAGCTGAATCAGCTTTTACTCATGAGCGGTGCTGCAGTGAGACTAGACTTTGCTGTGTTGATGTGTATGCTAACAATACATGAGCTTAGCCAGTCTGCCAAATATCTAACTGCACCTGCGGGAAAAGCTGGCTGAGAAATTGTGAGTGTGGCAGTGTCTTGGCACAGTGGTGTCTGGGTGAGGGAGCTACTCCATCACTGCTGTGGTGCATCTTGAGAAGTGAAGTACTGCGTAGCTTGTGCAGTTCCTGCGATGGAGTGCTGAGTAAGGAGCTGGACTGGTGGACGAAGGAACACCAGCATGACTGTAATGTTATCACTTGATCCAGCTGCCTTAGCATGACTGACCAACTGCTGAGCAACTCTCTGCCCCACAGCATCCTCAGGCTGTTCCAGTGAAGCTCCTCCTTCAGGTTCACAAGGCTGCTGGAGCGCATCCAGAACAAGATGGGGGACCTCAGAAGGTTTGACCGCATCAAAGAAGCCGTCGCACGCCAGCAGCACGTAGTCCTCATCCCCCAGCAGCTGCATTGTTGAGCAGTCAGCATCTCCAGAGACATAGGGCTTCTGGTCAAAGTCACCTGAAGGAAGGATGTGTGTGGTCAGCGGCTACAACTAAAACAGCAGTACCTCATCAGAGTGACTCAGGTCACACCTGAAAGGCTCTTTATTGAACCAACAGGCTAAATGTTTGGATAGAGTGAAGACAAACAGCCCTCAAAGCCAAGCTTACTCATCTTGCACTAAAAAAACTGATTAACTGACCCTGCTGATATCACAGGCAAATTTGAGCTTTTCAGCGAGATTAGTAAACTGCAGTTACTCTAAAATTTAAATTTAAGAACAGAATGATTTTGGGGGCTGCAAGGTGGATCAGTGGTTAGCACCGTCACCTCACAGCTAGAAGATCCCCGGTTGGTCCCAGTTAGAACACCCGGGATCTTTCTGCGTGGAGTTTGCATATTCTCCCTGTGCAGCGTGGGTTCTCTCCGGGTTCTCCAGCTTTCTCCCATCCATCCATCCATCCATCCATCCATCCATCCATCCATCCATCCATCCATTTTCTTCCGCTTATCCAGGGCCGGGTCGCGGAGGCAGCAGACGGAGCAGGTGATTCCAGACATCCCTCCCCTGGCAACACTTTCCAGCTCTTCCTGGGGGATCCCCAGGCGTTCCCAGGCCTGCCGAGAAATACAATCCGTCCAGCAGGTTCTGGGTCTGCCCCGGGGTCTCCTCCCAGGGGGACATGTTCGGAAAACCTCCAGAGGAAGCCTCCAAGGAGGCATCCAAATCAGATGTCCATTACGACTCATTACTCATTATGACTCATTACCTCACACAGCCTTGAAAAAGCTGGGACTTCTGACTGCAATTTCGTTGTGTGTTCGGAAACATTATGCGTAATGACAATAAAAGAATTCTGATTGAGGCAGAGTGCAGCATGCAGAGGGCAAGGAGACAGCACTTGCTCTTTCATGGCAAAGCATCAAAGTTTAGAGGGTCGCCACCAACACGTTTGACGAAAACTCCCAATTTTTGGTATGAGTCATCATCAACGTCTAAAGGCTCATGTCACAGCATTTGAGGTCAATACGGTCGACCGGCTGATAATAACAACACATGAAAGTATAAAACATGTTCTTTCCTACTGCCAGCAGGTGGCGCTGTCACTGTGAATGTCCATCCATCCATCCATTATCTATACACCGCTTAATCCTCATTAGGGTTGCAGGCGGCTGGAGCCTACCCCAGCTGACTTAGGGCGAAGGCAGGGGACACCCTGGACAGATCACCAGTCTATCACAGGGCTACACTTAGAGACAGACAACCAAGCACACTCACATTCACACCTACGGACAATTTAGAAACATCAATTGACCTCAACATGTTTTTGGACTGTGTGGGAGGAAGCCAGAAAACCCAGAGACAACCCACACTGCACGGGGAGAACATGCAAACTCCACGCAGAAAGATCCCAGTGCCCCCACCGGGACGCGAACTGCGATGTGAGGCAATAGTGCTACCAACTGCGCCACCTTGCAGCCACAGTGAATGTATATTCAGTGGCGGCTGGTGAAAATTTTTGATGGGGGGGCGCAGTCTGCAAATGACCATTTTTTTAAAAATCAGAAATGAGAATATGAGTAACATCAGGCACAACTATTTACAGGAATGCAAATTGTCTACCTTTGGAGGATATTCTAATCATAATCTAATTTAACATTATCAAGCCTTACCAGAACTAAGTTTCAAAACCATGCATCAAACTTTCATTAATATTTACAGGATCTGTACAACTCAAAACACACAACATTAATAAAGGAAAAAACACCGGTACGACCCACTTTCTCATTTTGTTGCACCTCCAACCTGGTCAAAGGCAACACATATGACTTTTTGAATATTTTCTTATCGATAGACACTACGAATTACTGATGCTCCCTAAACGCCCCACATTGCAGACTGTGGTAGCTGCTGTTTGGTGGTTGCAGTGTGCTCAGACAGGTGTGTGACTAAAATGACTTTAAAAATAATAAACTAGGATGTTCTCATGTCAGATTTGTCCGAGGTTAAAACCATTTAGATGTATTCTACATGCGGTCTTTTCTAAGAGCAGTCTTTTCTCCATTGACAGCATGGCCAATGCATTAAGCTGTCATGCCAGTAGCTCTCATCTAGTAGAAGAGGAGGGGAAAGGCCGTGTGATGTTTCAGAAAGCGCAGTCATAAGAATGTCAAAGGAAAGTTTTGATATCCAACCACAGAAGACAAAAGCAAATACAAAATTAAAGCCGCAAGTGGCGATGGACGGGTCCTCGCTGTATGCTTGTCAGCCTTCGCGTTGGAACACTCCTCTGATGTCATCTACATTATGATGACATCATCTACATCATGATGACATCATCATGGCGGATTTTGTGTCGGGTTGACAGAAACGCGCTAATGGATTTTTTTGTGCGCCACGAGCTGTTACATATGTGTGGTGAATTTCGTAGTTGTAGGTGAAACGTAGCCGTGATGGGAGGGGGCGCAGTTGAGTGTTGCATTTTAGAGCGTGGAGCGGGGGGGACTTTTTTGTTCATCCTGACCTGCTCTATAGGCCTACCAAATTGCGTAGTTCTAGGTCAAACGTGCTTCCAACGGGACTCTCTTGAAATTTTCAAGGTGGAGCTGTGGAGCCATTTTGACAGTGACATGTCCAAGTCCCTCAAAATTTCAAATTTTTGCCAGTCCTGATGTGTGTGGCGATTTTGGTGAGTTTTCATGCACGTTAAGGCCCTCAAAATAGCATTTCAAAAGTCGGTACAAAAATTATCACAAGGGTTACAATAGGGTCCTACACACTGTAGTGCTCAGACCCTAATAATCACAAGGGTTTCAATAGGGTCCTTGCACTGGTGTGCTTGGACCCTAATAATTCCTTCAGTTTCAAGAGAGTCCTGCACACTGTAGTGCTCGTGCCCTAACGAATGGATGGTTTGGGCTGGTATCTACTTGCCAAACTTGAGACTTCCAATGATGTCATGGCCACTTTTAAAATACTCAATAACCACTAGCTGCAATATGATCAAATATACTTAAAAAAACAATGCCAGCCTTTCTGAAAGTAGCTCTGTTGTTCATGTAGTCAACGGAAATAAAGCCTGCGTTGTGAGAGTTTAATGCATTATGCTCAAAGGAAAAAAAATACTGGTGCTGTGTTCTTTTTATTTGGGATTGACTTACCTATGGCCCTGGATACAGCATATGTGCCATTAACACGCCAGCAACCCATGAAGGTAACACAGCCTCCAAGATCCTCAATTCTCTGTTTCTCATCCTGGACAGAGGAAGACAAAGAGACAGACCTCATCATCCTGCCACCATCCCACCATTGCAGTCATTTGTTGTACGCTGCATCACTACTGGGTGATTTTCTCTCTCCATGTACTATGTTAGTCAGCAGCAACACAACAACTCCATCACATTGACCGACCACTTGTTCAGAGGGAATTGAATTAATAAACTAAATTAAAGCCGCAAGCGGTGTTGGACGGGTCCTCGCCCTACGCTTGTCGGCCGTCGCGCACGTCAGGGTGTGGCGTAAAGGTGCTCCGGGCGGGACTGTGATCCGGCCTGTGGAGTTTCAGGCAGTTCGGAGCACGTGCGGCCTAGTTACGAGCCACTTCCTGTTTAGTGGCGAGGTGCGGCAAGGTGCGGCGGCGTGCGTGTTGACCGTGGTGGAAATATGCGCTGGGTGAGACTTAGAGCACCCGTGTTAAGTTTGAGGCTGATAGGAGCACAGCACATCATGTATTCTGCCGTTTTATGGCGTTGTGGCCAAATTCAGTGGGGTGCAATTTCCACGCTGTCAGACTTTTGAAGACCGTTTTGCTAACTTTTAATCACCACCTCCTGTAGTTTGTGCTGGCCAACTTTTAGGTGTGTACGACCTTCCCTGTAGGAGGAGATAGATTTTGAAAATGGCCAAAAATGTCCAAAAGTCAGGCACAATCGGCAAAAGTGTCACCTAGTTTTTTTCAAAATAACGGACTTCGTGTTGGGTTTACGGCTTGGCGCTGATTGACTTTTTTGTGCGTCCTGACCTGCTACACATGCCCACCAAATCTTGTAGCTGTAGGTGAAACGGCCTTTTGACAGGACTCCGTTGAATTGCAAAAACAAAGCAAAAATGGACAAAATGGCCATTGATCGAAATTGGATGGGCCGCCATTTCCAAACCGGACCTCATCTGCAGAGCGTTTTTGATAACTTTTAATCACCACCTCCTGAAGTTTGTGCTGGCCAAATTTCAGGTATGTATGATGGAGGAGTTCGATTTAGAAAATGGCCAAAAATGGCCATTTTTGAGCAAAAATGGCCCGACATACTCGCCGTTTGTCCAACATGGCGGATTTCCTGTTGGGTTTACAGAAACATGCGAATGGACTTTTTTGTGCAGCACGAGTTGTTACATATGTGTGGCAAATTTCGTAGTTCGAGGTGAAACGTAGCCGCGATGGGACTCTGTTGAAATATTGTAGGGGGCGCTGTTGAGCCGTGTTCCATTTTAGAGCTTGGCGCTGGTTGACTTTTTTGTTCGAGCCGACCAGCTCAATACACGAATGAAATTGCGTAGCACTAGGGCAAACATGCTTCCGACAGGACTCCGTTGAAATTTTCAAGGTGGCGCTGTGGAGCCATTTTGCCAGTGACATGTCCATGTCCCTGATAGTTTCCGATTTCTGCCAGTCCTGATGTGTGTGGCGATCTTAGTGAGTTTTTGAGCATGTTTAGGGCCTCAAAAATGTGTTCAAAGTTTGCGTACAATAATAATAATCATAATAATAATAATAATAATAATAATAATAATAATGATAATAATAACAATAACAAGGGTTTCAATAGGGTCCTTGCACTGGTGTGCTCGGACCCTAATAATGGTTATCATTTGTTAAACCAGGTAAAGTTACACCAGAAGGTGGTGCTAAAGAGAAAGAAAACAAGGTGCAGTAAACTGCAGCGAAGATTATCCAACACTTCCATACTAAAGGTCCCATATTGAACCCTTAAACAAATTAATGAAAGTCTCATATTTCCCCAGAATATTTTTCAGCTCAAAATACAGCAAATATGTTGACTTACCACTGAAAAAGAAATAATCAACTTCCTGGCATTCCCAGTTTGGAATACAAAACAGCCTGCAATTCCAGACAGCTTTGGGAATGTTCATAATATCCTTACCTCTCTCTCTGGTTTATGCGGCTCCATGAGTGTAACAACTTGTCCTTTTCTGATCAGTATGGCCTGAGAGTCACCCAGCCAAGCCACAGACAGCTGCTTGGCCTGTATCAGTATCGCCACTCCCGTACTGCCGCTCCGCAGACGCTACACACACACACACACACACACACACGGACACGCACAAATTAAAGCCCTTAGTCATTTTATAGTAAAGTGACCAATGAAGCTGACATGGTCAGGTGCTGTCAAATTATCAAAGTGATGCACGTCTGAAAAGGGCTATATAGATTAGAACTGAATACTGCAAATATCTATGTTTCCTTTTCTAGCCCCACAACCACAACAGTGTGAGTAACAACACGTTTGTTGCAGCCTTTTACTAAAACTGTTTATTAAAAATGAAAAAAAAAAAAAAAAGAAGACTTTTCTCAAAGTTTGTACATTTATTAAAAATAAAATCACATCAATAAGTATTCAGACACATGAAATTTAGCTCAGGTGCCTCCAATTTCTCTTGATCATCTTTGAGGTGTTTCTCCAGCTTGACTGGAGTTTACCTGTGGCAAATTCGATAAATTGGACATAATTTGGAAAAGCACAAATCTTTCTATATAAGGTCTTACAGCTGACCATGTGCCAGAGCAAAAACCGAGCCATAAAGCTTGAAGGAAGTGCCAACAGAGCTCAGAGGCAGGACTGTGTCAAGGCACAGATCTGAGGAAAGCTACAAAAACAATTCTGCAGCATTAAAGGTTCTCAAGAGCACAGTGGCCTCCACAATCCTGAAATGCAGAGAAGAATGGTAGAAAATGCCCCAATCCAGGTGTGTAAAGCTTGTTTTGTCATACCCAAATGTCTCAAGGCTGTAATTGCTGCCAAAAGGTGCTTCAGCTTAGTATTGCATAAAAGCTCTGAATAAAATGTGAAATTTCACTTTTCCGTATGAATAAATTTGCTAAAATTTGTAAAATTCAGTTTTCACTTGGTCATTATGGAGTGTTGAGCATAGACGGATGAAAGGGAAAATGAACGTAACAAGTTTAGTCTGCAACATACTAAAATGTGAATAAACCAAAGGAATCTGAATAGTTTCAGAATGCACTGTATGACAGCTGAAACCAGCATGTTCACAATGTCGCCCCAGAGCTGTTTCACTACCTCTCTCTTGGCTTTGCCTCTGAACATGTCATCGATGTGTTTGAAGGCAGTTTTAAAGGCTGTGTCGGTGTTGCTCTGCAGTGTCTCCTGTTTACTCAGAGCAACATGGAGGTGAGTGGCAGCATAGACAGCAGCATCCAGCCCTCCGTGGCCGTCAAACACAGCATAGTAGGCACGCTCTACTCTGTCCTGGACCACAGCGGAGAGAGATAATTAGAATGATGCAATAATTAAAGTGCTAGCTGAAATTGTGAAGTTGTTTTTATTTTTTTTTTTNGGGGGGGGGTGACAAGCTGTAACAAGCTGTTTGTATTGCTGTAGAAGTCGTACCTGGATTCCAAAAAGCTGGTTGAACTCTGCTAGCACCAAGTGTTTGTCCTCCATCTTCCTCCTTGTGTTCTTGATAGCATGAACAGAGCAGCGGAGGATGCGAGAAGGGGAGAGGGACAGCTTGGGGAGGTTTTGGTACCATTCCAGCGCTACATCTATCAGCTTGTTAAGGAAGAGACGTTGTACTGCCTCCGACTGAAGTACTGACAGTTAAATCAAATGGTAACAGAAAAGAAATACATTAGTTTTTTGTTTCTTACTACTTTTTTCTGACATTTACATTCACTGACCACTTCTTTCACCGAACTAATATATACAAGGGGAACAGAACACTATGCAGTCCAGCACATTAACACTTAAATAATAAACATAAAGCAGAATTATCACCTTTCTGACAAAAACTAAAAATGTATAAGCTTTGTAAAAGCTACATTTATGGCAGTGCTGTTGCATAGGATTGGCTCTAAAGCTTGGTAAATGTACAGCACAAAACATGATCAGGGTTCAGAAGGAAGGAAGGCCAATTCTGATTGACTTCTCGTGGTTTTAGGTTTAGATCGTCTCTGCAGGCTGACTAAGTATAATATGAAAGAACCTACAAGGTGCCCCCTACTCTGCAGTTCATGTAAGGTTTGTTTCATGTCACATTTGCTGCCCCACAGCAGGAAAATCCTGGATTTCAACCTGCCGGCTGGCTGAGGCCATCCTATGTGGAGCTTGCACGGCTTTTCAGCAGCTGCTTTGGCTTCACAGTTCATTGATCACTCAAAACTGGCTATCGGTGTCAATGAGAGCATAAAAAGTTTTTTATTTCTGTGGCCCTTTTCAGACATTGGATATGTAACATTGCTGGCTTTAACAATCTGAGTATAAGCACTTATCTAGAACCATAAGTAACTAATGGAGTTATTACTGTTGTTTGATGTGTGTAAATGCACACAACTTGCTTGCTTTGGAGACGCTCATATGGATCCTTCTGTGTCTGAGGATGCAAGTATTTATTGAACAAACAGCTAGAAACAACTTAACTTCAGCACCTCTTATAGTTTGTCAAAGCCTGAATAACTCCTATTAATAGTGTCTCTCAATAATCTTGTCTGTTCTGTTTTCATCACAGTAAAGTTTTATTTTTGGACATTTTATGAACATTGTTAGATATGTGTAATAGATGTGAAGTTTGTGGAACAAAGTGAACAAGAAAAGATATTTTGTGATTTTGACATGTGTTTTGTGCTCTCTGTAGTGCTTTTGGACCGATGCTAGTGTTGAAAAGGTCGAGAAAGGAATTTTTTATTTCCCTTACACAGTTCGAAGTACTGTCACTTGTGTGTGCTCATGTATTAATGCGACAAAAGGCAGCTCAGACTGCCATTTTAAAGTGACATCCACCTAGTGAGACTGCAGTCACATGAGCAGCTCATTCAGACATGACGCCAAAATGTTCAGATGTTGTCAGATCAATGTAGAAGGAGTGCAGATCTGAAATGAGCTTCTGTGTGAGCCCTGAGATCACTTGGCATCCTGTTAAGGTTGAACTATGCCTCTGCTCCCAGCAAACAGCAGACAGACACTTGTTAAGCCGTGTCCACACCATTATGTTTTAATTTTAAAATGGTGTTTCAAAATTAGATCTTCATCATGATAAACATCTGAAATGCATCACAAGAACAGGAAAGGGCAAGTAGTGACTGATACTTGCCCGTCAAGAGGCAAACATGGCTATCTGCATCACCGTTTTCAAAAGTCCCAGTTTGTTCCTGTTTATATGTCAACACTACAGCAGCACTTTCTGAATATCTTCACCCTAGAAGAAGTTTTTTTTTTTGCTTGTGGATGAAAGGCAAAAACAAATTAAAGAAATACCTAAACAACTGTTGAGGCAACTGTTGACTAACATCCTTCAGTATAACACAGCATAAATTAAAGCTACACAAACTTACAGACTACTGTCTCTTCCTCTTTCTGATTAGCTTCAGCTTCCTTGAGGCAATGGAAAGGGGAAAGGTCTATCTGGAGCAGCTGGGCCAGTGCTGCCTGGCACAGGAGGGCACTGAGGCCTGCAGGAGCACTCCTGAACCAACAAAAACAAGCAGAAATACATATTGTCTGCTTTGTCAGGATATGAGCACAAGTTATTTATTTAACCACACTTGGCAGTCAAGTAATACACAACTGTATAGCCAGAGATAATGTATGCACTTTGAGACAGAAATACATTTTTAGCAAAGACAAGTTGGAATAAAATAACAAGCCCTGAGCAATGCTCATTTACAGAAAGCAGGGGGTAAAGGCACGTCTATGTGAGATCAACTCTTTCATTTGTCACTCCTCTTCCTTTACAGTATGACATGTCTGTGGCGGATTATATTGGATAAAGGAAACAGTAAGTGGGGAGAACAATGCTGTTTCTGCAGACCGGATATGAGGTCTTCCTGACAAGGCATAATTCTGTAGAAGAGAGCACACAAGCTCATGCTTCTTCAGAAACACAGTTTGTAGAATTTACAGATTCTACATTTTCTAAGTTTGTACTCAAAGTTTTGCTGAGTTGGAAAGTTAATTCACAGCTGATTTTCACTTCAGATACACCTATGGTCTCAGCTGATGTATTTCCACATGTCCAAACTCCAATAATGAAATAGGAGATGTTCAATCTTACTGGTTTGTACTAATTCCCACTGCATTTGAACAAAAAAACAATTAATGGCAAAAATGTATAAAGCATGGTCAGTCTCTTTTGAACACAGTCTCTGCAATGGCAATTTAACTATTATATTTCTGTGAGCTATCTGAGTCTAAACTGAACGCTGTTGAATGAATATAAAGGCTGCTGTCCCATGGTACAGTGAAAGAGGAAATACAACAATTCTCAGCTTGACACTCCCTCCCTATATTTTCAAATTCAATCAATCAAACTCTGTCTATACAGCATTTTTTCCAGACAAAATAAATGCAGTTTAAAGTGCTTTACAACCAGCTGACACAACATATCACTTTAAAATTGATTTAGAGACAATCGAATAAGACAAAATATCTGAGGTAATAAAAACTAACAAAACAATAAAAATAACCATAAAATATAATTATGGAATATTGTACACAAAATATCACATTAAAGTACAGTGTTAACATGTTAAATATTAAGTAAAATTAAATAAGTATAAAACAATAAATGATGGTGATTAAAAAACAAGCATAAATACTATGTCATAACATTTAGAAAATACTTCACAAAAGTCAAACCAAATAGAATAAGCTAGATAGGTTTAAAAACATCAGTATTTTCAGCTCCTCTCACATTGTCTGAAGGCTGTTGTAGTGACAAAAAGCAGCATCGCCAAACAATTTTTCCTGCTTTTTGGAAACGGCTTAAAGAGAAGAACAGGTGGATCTGAGAGGAATTCCTGGTTCATAGACCTACAGCATTTCAGAGACGTAGTCCGACGTAAGGCCATGAGCGTTTCAGCATCAACAAGGTCAAAACGTTTAACTTTGACTCTGTAGGCAGATTACACTAGTGCATCTTTAAAAAAATTTGGGTTAGTACTAGGGATGGGCAAATGATACCAAGGCACCGAAGCTTGTGCCAGTCTAATGAACTGTTGTGTGTCGACTCCAAGTGTCGGAGCTTGTATCAAGCGACAATTGTCACGTGATTGACGACGTCAGAAGCTTCGGACATCACTGGCGCTTCATAAAGCGTTTCATTGGTTTACAGCTTGAATGTTTTGGCGCTTAAGTACGATGCTTCAGTGACACTAAGATGTGGGTTTTGAGAGAGTAATTTGTATGTTGTGAGGTATTTCGAATATTTCAAGTGGCAGAAAGCGGTCCCCTGTGTGGGAGCATTTTAACTTGATAACACTGACCAAGGTAAGATGTGATTTGTGATACTCAGATTTTATCAGCATCATGACATTAGTAGAATATCATGATTATTATTATTATTATTATTATTGTATTTCAAACCTCAACACGAGTGTCAATGATGTAGTAATAATGATTCTAGAATTTATCTCTCTTACAGTGTCCAGAAAACAAAGGCTGGATGAGGCTTTAGAATTTTTTTCTAAGGCTGGGGAAATAGCCAATTAGAAAATGAGCTGTTTGAAGCCAAGCACTGTGGAAAAAAATCCTGTTTCTTAACAAAAATCTGTGAAAATAAATGTGCACAAGCACTGCTACTTTTAACAATGCCCATGTTCACAAGCACAACTACTGACAGTTCTATCAGATCAAAGATCATACTTCAATAACATGGCCTAAAATGAAAAACAAAAAAATACAATTGGTACATATACATGAATGAATGAAATACAGCTTGAAAACTATAGGTACACAAGATTTGGTGCTCTACCATCATCCTGGCATAGCTCTGCAGGTTGTAAGATAAGATAAGATAAGATATGCCTTTATTTATCTCACAGTGGAGAAATTCACATCGTTGACAGCAGCTTTCAACAGACGTACACAGACGTATACTTGAGGCTTATAGTTTTTCTCTTTCTTTGGGTGAAAGATCAAATCCAGCCATCACCACATACCTTTATATTTTTAATGTAATATGTACTTTTATTGCTAACCAAAAAAAGAAAAATGCCACATGACTAATAATTTAAATTTGTTTACTAACATGCAACTTTAAATGAGTTTTAATACACACATTTGGGTTTGAAACCATGATGTTTTGTGCCAGTGCTTTGATCAAATTATGAAACAGCTGCTGTAATTCCAGTCTGCCAGATGTCACTGTTTTTCCTCACAGCGAAGCCCTGAAGCTTCAAATCATTTTCGGCACAAAAAGAAAGAAAGCCTCAATGCTTCACAAGGCTTTGTTCACCCATCACTAGTTAGTACCAAAAAACTTTTTTTTATTATTAGTTATTTTTAAAAAGTAAAAATGTAATATATCCTAGACTCATTAGACATAAAGTAGAACATTTCAAGGTATTGTTTAATAAGATGATTAGGGCTTATCGCTCGTGAAAATGTGATATTCTGACCGGGGTATGAGTCTGCCCTCATCTCGAGAGGCAGTACTTATTGTATTTATTCATATGGGCTGGCTTACCGAGCTACACATATTGTAGCACAACAGTAAATGTAAATGATTAGCACAGATTTTTAATCAGAGTAGAGAAGACACAACATGAGAATTCTGATGTTCTTATCGATCAAGTCTTCTGCAGCACTTTTTTTCTGTATACAGTGTATCAGTAACTAATATTATGTCTACCACTGCTGTATGCATTCAAACAACTAAGCCAATACTGCATAATGAATGAGCAAGGCAAGAGCAGAGCTGTCAGGAATGTGAAGAATGCAACACATGAGATGGACAGATAGCACAGACAGCCCTGTTCACTAAGTCCACCTTTGCTGTGGAACTAATGTTTCTAAATATATCCTTATTAGGTTTACCTGTGACCACTGTTTTGCAAAGAATAAAAACAGAGTCGAGCACCCAGATAGCTCAGCAGGTTGGGTGGGCAACCCGTGAACAGGGGCTGTAGTCCCCAACGCAGAGGTCATGGGCTCAAGTCTGGCCCATGACCATTTACTGTGGGTCCTTCCCCCACTCTTCCCACATATTTCCTGTCTCTGTCTCCACTTTCAACTATAATAAAGGCTAAAAAGCCCAAACAAAAAAAATCAAAAAAAATAAATATATATATATATATATATATATATATATATATATATATATATATATATATATATATATATAAATAAGTGTAACACATTGTTAAGGCATGGAAATAGCTATTTAAAATCCAGGGGGAAAAACCACTGGAATGTAACAAATCCAGCACAATTTTCTCTTCATGTAAAAGCCCTGTTTCCTGTGTTTAGTGAGCTACCTATTGTGCACTGCTGAGTTGCACGTCTCCCTGCAGACAGCAAGATCTGCATGGCAGCCGGGAGAATGATGGAGGGCAAAGTGGCTCCATTAACATTAATGCATTAAAGTGAAACTATCTAATGTTAGATTAAACTGTTCACTTTTTGTATTGATGACGTGTTTATTTGCTGATAGGGCAGACTACCATTTTATTGTCTAGGCCTAAATACCAGCCACAGAGACTCTACTGACCTATTACTGTGGAGCAACAACATTTAGAGCAAGAATCTGGCTGTGTGGCTATTTAATCCTGGGCAGCGACAGCTTTTTTCTTTCGTTCTGAACCTTCAGAACAGCCAGACACATGAAATGAAATGCCTATAGTACACTTGTCCCTGTCATACCTGGAAGCCAGCAGCCTCAGGCCCAAGTCCAGGCTTTCTCCATGTAGTTCCTCCAGGGAGACCTTGCGGCTCAAAGGGCTGACGGGCAGTGAACTGTTTTCATCTAGGGCAGAGGGGAACTCTTTGACGAACCTCTCCAGGAAGCTAAGGGCCTCCTCCTCCATCCTGCCGACTCTGGCTGCACCGACCTCTCCAGCGACCAGAAACTCACAGGTCCCAAGTGGACACCTAAAGGGCACAAAACGCAGACACAGACTTCAAATTCATTCTGTCAAACTTAACACAAAAAATGTACACATCACCGTACAATTTTAACATTGTCAAGATTTCGACTAACTTCATGTAGTCTTTTTCATGGTGGAAACAAGCTTCTGTAAATAACAAAACAGGTAGCAGGAAACAATCAGTGGTGCTTTAAGTTAGCATGCATTGTTGACAAGTAGCTGCTGTGTGCAGGATATTTTCTGGTTTGTACATGACTATATCTGCTTTTATCAGGGTCAAACAGTCGACGTGCAAATGCAAAGAACTTTGGACTTGTGGTAACAGCAAAGGTATATATTTTTGAAACTTCAGCGTTTCCCAAAATTTGTGACCAAAGACATGAGGATAACTGCCAAAGAGATGGCTTATTTGTGAACGTTTTGCCCAGATGATGGTGATCGAGGAGTCACTGATCAGCTAAGAATGAGAATTTCTGAAAGCAAATGTCTTAAAAAGCAACGGAGAGAGTGACAGAAACACACGCTATTAAAGAGAACAAAAGCTCAGAGTTCCAGAGGTGCGTCGACGCTGCAGCCACCAATGTTCGCCAGCTTTATCCACACTTTGAGCCCAGACAGGAACATGTTCTACATCTGTTCCGTTAACGTCAACGCGCCCCTCCGCTCACGGTAGCGACCGACGTTTCAACACCGCCTGGAACACCGTCGACAACTTAAAGCGGCTGAACTAGTTGTCAAAGTGACATTCCACAATGAGCAGAGCAGTTAGTCGGTCCTACCTGTTGCAGACTGTCTGGTGCTGCGCTCTTAGCGGAAGTACGGGGGAACAAAGCGCGCACACTCACCCACAAGCAGGCGCAGGAAGTGACGAAGCGTTCGGTGCTCGGACGTTCCGGTACGTCATCAGACTTCCCGTTTAAAGGTCCCCGCCGACAACAGCGAGCACCGGGAGCCTTATGCAGGTGGTCGCTGCTCCGCACACAAACAGGAAGTTGCGGATATTTAAACCCAGAACCTTCTAGCTGTGAGGCGACAGTGCTGACCACTGCCCCGCCGTGGCAGCCTTTTTCTAAAGTCTATCCATCCATTATCTATACACCGCTTAATCCTCACCAGGGTCGCGGGGGGGGGCTGGAGTCTATCCCAGCTAACATAGGGCGAAGACAGGGGACACCCTGGACAGGTCACCAGTCTATCACAGGGCTACACTTAGAGACAGACAACCAAGCCCACTCACATTCACACCGATGGACAATTTAGAATCACCAACTAACCTCAAAATATTATTGGACTGTGGGAGGAAGCCGGAGAACCCAGAGAGAACCCACGCTGCACGGGGAGAACATGCAGAAAGATGCCAGTTCCCCCACCGTGACGCGAACTGGCCATCTTCTTGCTGCGAGGCAACAGTTTTTTCAAAAGTCTAGCACAGCAAAAAGTATTTGAACTGAAGTTTCTACAATGTTTTCTGTACTGTGCCGTTTATAAATTCTTTCTATGATGAACAAACACACTTACAGAAATAGTGTTACCATACAATTTTTATTTTAAGTGTACCAAAACATAAGAAACGCAGGACTCCATGTACTGACATTTGCACTGTCATAAATGCAGGCATATTACAGAATGCACTACATGCAGAATCTACACAAAGTAGGCTGCCAACGCAGCCATTTTGTCTTTAGGTTTTTTAGGATTTCCACGACGTCCTTTGCCTCTGCCCCGTCCTCCTCGTCTTGCACCTCCACCACGGTGCATGGAGTGCCTCATGGTGGCATGTTTAAGCTCCACCAGATCTTGAAAGACGGGATCACAGAAAACGCAACCCGTGTGTTGGGTCTCGCCAGCAGGAAGTGGAGTGCGAGTCTTGTTGAAGTCCACTGCCACCAGAGATGCGTCACAGGTATTACAGCTTTCCTGAGCAACCTACAAAAAGAGAAAAGAACACGAGGGACAGCATTGGTGATCAAGAGAAATATAAAGAATTAACAATTTACCTTTGTTCAGGTGATGTTTAAAAAACCTTTTAAGACCAGCCTTTGGAGGGGAATTACATCTTCCAGGAGCCAGGGGACTTAAGGCCCCATAACTTTCTTGAAGTGGACAATACAATACTCACACCACCTTAAGCTGGGAGGATGTGAGACATTGTCCTTCTCTCTCTATAGAGCTCTCTTTTTCTCATTTATGACATGACTATGTGGTGCTTTAATGTGTAAAATGTCTGCTTGCTGCGCTGGGCTTGTGTAGCCTATGCAGACCTTGTATATGAAGGGTCATATGAATGTAGTTGTGGAATGTTCCACAAAGTTCATGGTTCAGTATCATAACTTTTCCCCTCCATTCATTTACAAAAATATCCATGCATTAATTTACTCCATACTTTGAATAAGAAAAGACAATAAGTATAAACACAAGTGGAAAATGTTCATTATTAACTTAAACAAACAGTGCAATTCCAGCTAAAAAACTTGCACAAAGTACTTTTGCCATTCTGGCTTTTGTCAACACCAAGAACACAGGTATCTTGTTTAAAAAAAACTTAACTGGAATTGCCACTGGACAAAAGCAAAGGGTATTTCCTTGGCATTTATTTCAGTGTGAGCTTCCCATAGTTGCTAGTCAATTGACCTGTCCTGAGTGAGCTGAGTGATTCTGGCCATACAGAAGTTAACACATCATATAGTTCCAAACATTGGTGCGTGTGTGGCATTGAGTGTCTTTCAAACTTTAAAGGCTAACCCTGCTAGCATGCTCTAGAAATGTTCATTCCAGGAGTTCAAGCATGTTGACCTCAAATAGAGTTATGACACTAACCCTAACCTACAGAGTGTAGCAAATGGGAAATTTCATGCCAAACTAAACGTTATCTATAGAACTGGTTGAGACAAATACGCACATCATTACACTACTTTATGAATAGAATTGTCTTAACATAGGACATAATTTTCTTACCTGTACTTTATGTGCATGTTCAAAGAAGTGCACCACCACGTTGCATTTATTACAAGCCATCCTCCATTTTGGTCCAGAAGTGGGGTCAAGCACCAAAACCCCACTATCACACTCCACACACTGTCCAATCCCCAAAGAGTTAAGAGAGTGCTGACAGGATGGATGGGTACATTCATTGCATCCCATACCTGGAAAAAGGAGACATGAAAACAAGAAGGTCAGAAGGTCATAAACAATAATAAGGGCCAGATCTACTCAGAAGATTGTGGTAATCAAATGTGCACTTTGCTATTTATTTAAATTTGTGGCCACAATTTGTGGGTCTTGAGTCTTTATTTATTCATTATCCTGTCGGCTGCTGGGCTGATCCTGGTACTGACTTCCAGACATACACTGCAAGTTTTGCAATTTCAAAGTTCAAACTTAAAAAAGAAACTACAACATGATAATGTGGATTTGCTGTAAAACTTTCCCGCAAGACCAGCAGGAACACCAACACATCTGAAGATGATGGAAATGTAGATTACTGTCCAGAACATGAAACTCGGTGGGCAGGGGACTAGGTATATTTAATTGTTTAACATGTTAACCTGTAAATGACAAAAGCACTTGAACTGTGTTTCAATTACTCCAAATAAATCTTTGTGAACTGGAGGGTTTCAAGATTCAGGCTAGTTAGCCACTTTAAGAGAATCCAGAGCTGACGTTCACTTTTTGTCTTACCTTTCTTCATGTCCCGGAAAGGCGGGTTGCTGAAGCAGTAGGGGCACAAGGGGTAGCTCTTACCCCGGGCTCCAGAAGTCCACAGCACAAGCTCAAAGTCATCCAGTGGACAGCGGAGCTCCTTGTACAGCTTGATAGCTCCATTCTGAGGAAGACTATAGGTCTCGTCACAGTGGGAGCAGTGGAGCCTGCTGGGCTTTGCCTACAGACACATGCTAGATTAAGATTTGTTGTACAGATTATTCACTGCAAATGCATCTGACAGACTGGACAGCTGAAACAAGGAATGAATAAGTTCTCACCTAAACAACCTCAGATCCCACTATTGTCCTCAGAACAAGGTTCTTATCATCAGTTTTTTAAAGGGTGTTTATAGTCAATCTTGTAACAGTCATTACTTAGAGTTAAATATACACACGTGGACAAAATTGTTGGAACCCCTCGGTTAATGAAAGAAAAACCCACAATGGTCACAGAAAGAACTTGAATCTGACAAAAGTAATAAGAAATAAAAATTCTATGAAAATTAACCAATGAAAATCAGACATTGCTTTTGAACCGTGGTTCAACAGAATTATTAAAAAAAATAAACTCACGAAACAGGCCTGGACAAAAATGATGGTACCCCTAGAAAACACTGAAAATAATGTGACCATAGGGACATGTTCAATCAAGGTGTGTCCTTTAATTAGCATCACAAGTGTCTACAAACTTGTTATCAGTCAGTCGGCCTATTTATAGGGTTACAAGTAGTCACTGTGCTGTTTGGTGACATGGTGTGTACCACACCAAACATGGACCAGAGGACAGACTGGTCTGATTCCTATAATTAAGAGTTTTAGGAGTCATTGGAAACACAAGATCGCCATGTTCTCCACAAGTGTATGTAAACTTTGGTCCCAAACTGTACATCTGCTGAATTCCAAAGATAAACTTTAATGACAGAGGCTGACAAATTTCCTTTAAACTTTCACGAGACAACACTGACCAAATGTACATCATAAGTGCACATTAAACAATCTTTACACGTTAGTTTCTCGCCATATGTAGTTCTCAAAAGACAAAGGCTACCTTTCGTTTTCCACTGGAATACTCCACTTAACAGTCACACGCAACCCACTTTGCATATGTATGGATACAGTAACAATGACCAAATTATCTGCAGCCTCATGATTCACTCATGAATTTCAATATGGTTGTATCATTAGGCTGAAATGGTAATAAAGGGAGCACATCAGCTGAATTTTGAAGGCCAGAGCTCAACAGTCAGACATCATGTGGTCTCATAGGAACATAAATGGTGCTTTGGCTATTTCAAAGTAAAAAGTGTTTGAGGGTGGACTGAAAGACCATATACACACATGGACAAAATTGTTGGTACCCCTCGGTTAATGAAAGAAAAACCCACAATGGTCACAGAAAGAACTTGAATCTGACAAAAGTAATAATAAATAAAAATTCTATTAAAATTAACCAATGAAAATCAGACATTGCTTTTGAACTGTGGCTCAACAGAATTATTTAAAAAAATAAACTCATGAAACAGGCCTGGACAAAAAATTATGGTACCCCTAGAAAACACTGAAAATAATGTGACTATAGCGACATGTTCAATCAAGGTGTGTCCTCTAATTAGCATCACAGGTGTCTACAATCTTGTAATCAGTCAGTCGGCCTATTTATAGGGTTATAAGTAGTCACTGTGCTGTTTGGTGACATGGTGTGTACCCAGTGACATGATGTGCTGCCCAGTGTCAGAAAGCTTGGTCTCAGTCGCAGGTCATCGGTCAAACAGGATAATAACCCAAAACACACAAGAATGGCTAAGAGGAAAACATTGGACTATTCTGAAGTGGCCTTCTATGAGCCCTGATCTAAATCCTATTGAACATCTGTGGAAGGAGCTGAAACATGTTGTTTGGAGAAGACACCCTTCAAACCTGAGACATGAGGAGTGAGCCAAAATACCTGCTGAGAGGTCTCAGTGACAGTTACAGAAATCGTTTGATTGCAGTGATTGCCTCAAAAGGTTGTGCAACAAACTGTGAAGTTAAGGGTACCATCATTTTTGTCCAGGACTGTTTCATGAGTTTATTTTTTTAAATAATTCTGTTAAACCACAGTTCAAAAGCAATGTCTGATTTTCACTGGTTACTTTTCATAGAATTTTCCTTTATTGTTACTT